ACTGGCTATTGCCGTTTCACAGAGTCACAGACAGAATTTGAGTGGGAACAGCTCTCTCATTGCCAAATTTCATCATCTTTCATTATTTTGTTTCTTCTGTAACTTACAACTTACAACTTACAACTTACGGTATTGTCCTACGGGTAGTTGGCAGGCTTGAGGCAAAGTAAATTCTTGGTGCCAAGCATGACGGAACCTCAGTAAGAAGAACTCCTGGCAACCATGTGTGTGCAAGATGATAGCTGATCTAACAAGGGGGCTCCCTCTCTCTCAGAATGCTCTAGAATGCATATGATTTTTTAAAGTTTAATTTTTGAGAGAGAGAGAGAGAGAGAGAGCAAGGGAGAGGCAGAGCGAGAGGGAAAGTCCGAAATCAACCGACTGAGCCGCCCGGGTGTCCCCAGAAAGGATATGACTTTAATTGTTAAATTAAAGCAGCGAGAGCTGCTTTTCCTAAGAACAAGTCTAGCTCCACCATTTTTCAGAATGGCAAAGATTTGGCTAAACAGAGATAATACAAGTTGCTTTAGGCCAGCTGCCTTATGGACTGTCTTTGTACAGTCTTATTGACTGCCAGTGGGTTCTAGGCAATAAGAAAAGGAAGGGAGGGAGAGAGGGAGGAAGGAAAGGGAAGGGAAGGGAAGGGAAGGGAAGAGAAGGGAATGGAAGGGAAGGGAGGGGGAGGGAAGGGAAAGGAAGGGAGGGGGAGGGGAGGGGAAGGAAGGGAGGGGGAGGGGAGGGGAAGGAAGGGAGGGGGAGGGAAAGGAAGGGAGGGGGGGGGGACAGGAAGGGAGGGGGAGGGAAGGGAAGGGAGGGGAAGGGAAGGGAGGGGAGGGGAAGGGAAAGGAAGGGAAAGGAAGAAGGGAAGGGAAGGGAAGGGGCCTCGCACAGTAGCTATACATACGAAGTACCCAATACATGGTTGTTTCCATGAAGAGATGAGCAAATGAATCTGTAGACTCTAAAGGAGGCAGCTTTTCATCCCTAAACTAGCACACAGTGGAACCAAAACATTACACTTGGGTGCTGACAGGCAAGGGGGAACATCCTGCCGTGTCCCAACAGTCCAACAAAATAGGAAAGCCATAACAGGAACCAAGTCTTCTTACTTCAGTGACTTAAGGAAAAAAGATTTAATTAGATACATGTAGAGAATAAGTAGAAAATCAGAATCGCTCAGATTTACTCCACAAACATGTTTTTACCATCTCCGCGTTGCCAGGCACTGGGTTGATTTTCATGGACACAGTGGTGGGCACACCAACCCCAGTCCCACCGTCCTAGGGTTTTGAGAAACAGTGATCTTTGGTTAAATGCATCATCGGAACCCAGGTAAAGACACTGAAGGAAGAGACCACCCCTCTGTAACAGCATCCACCAGAGGCTGGAAGGAGTCTGGAAGAACGCTTCTCTGAGGAAGTAGTTCTTGAGCTTGGATGTGAACAAAACGTAGAAACATTCCAGATCGAGCACGAAGGCATGTGCAAAGACTTTGTGGCAAGAGGAGCAGTGGGTATGTTTGAGGAGCTTAAGGAAGTCCAGAACCCTGTCGGGCAGAGAGTGAGGGGAGATAAGTTGGAACGACTGTAGCTATTTCTGTAGCTTATTTGTATATTATTTCTGAAAGCTTACAATCCCTGGAGAGGCTATTGGGCATAAACACCAATGAAAACGTGAATTTACTGGTGGCCAGAGCCTAAAGGAGCAGGCATTTGGGGGGGACCCTTCTTCCCATTGTGGAACCAGCAGAACAGAAACCGGAGAACGCTCGAGAGAAAGCACAAAGCGAGCTCAGCCAAGCTCTTAGAGGGGGAAGGGGATACAATGGAAGGCATGGACTGCCCCCCACCCAGATCCTCACACTGTGTCTGAAATCGGGGTGCTGGGAGGAAGGGCAGTGTGACCAGGGACCTAGAGAGTTTCAAGTTTATATAGCGTTTGGTTTCTTCCAAAAAAAAAAAAAAATTTTTTTTTTTCTGGGGTGACTGGGTGACTCAGTCGGTTAAGCGTCCAACTGAATTTCAGCTCAGGACGTGATCTCACGGTTCGTGAATTCGAACCCCGAGTCGGGCTCTGCGCTGACAGTGCTGAGCCTGCTTGAGATTCTCTCTCTCCTTCTCTCTCTGCCCCTTCCCTGCTTGTGCTCACCCTCTCTCTCTAAATAAATAAAGACACTTAAAAAAATATTTTCTGAGATAAGTAAAATGCTAACATTCGTTGATCATGTTACTGGATCTACCTGTATGTGTTTTATTATTATTTGATGTTTTTTGTATCTGTTTAAAAATATTTTTAATTAGGAGGAAGGGAGGGAGGAAGAGAGAGAGTATAGGAGTGAAAGAGGGGCTAGGACTGGCCTGAGCGTCAGGGTCCTGTGCTCAGTTTCACATTGTCTTGGGCGAATCACTTCTGTGCTCCTGTTTTCCTTACGTAAGAAAAGGGGTTTTGAAGGGGAGGATCTTGGCGGTCCCTTCTAGCTCTAAGTCATTCTGTGTTTCTGATTTCCAAGAACCGTCGATTATTGAATAATTCTACTTACAGGTTTGGGAATGGAGTGTCCCATGTCCACGGATCCCTACTTTTTTTTTTTTGAAAAGAGAGATCCAATCTTGCCCGGCAAAGATAGCCAGCAGCTAGCTGCCTCTTAAGGAGGACGGTGCATTGAAGTTCATCTGTTTAGTGACATTCCTGAAAGCCACGAGCCCACAGGATGCTTGCATTCATCCCGGGCCAGACTCGGGGACCTGGAAGCACCTAGAAGCCTGTGCCTCTGTGTCAGGCCTCTCGCCATTCGCCGCCCACATCCTGGTGGCTTCTCTGTGGGTTTGTAGGGCACCTGCAAGGGCCTTTCTTACACAGGGAGGCAGAAGAGTTTCAGAAATGAAAAGGAAACACCGCAGGCAGAGATCAGGTGACAGCCGCGTTCGTGAGCCTACGGACATACTTGGTACCACATTTGGCGGTGCATTCACTCACTGCTATCCTGACTGCCATCACATGTGCGCCGAACCAGCGTGTGTATGGTAGATTGTAGCTACCACATGAAGCAAGATGGTGCTGTGGGTTCTGGGCATAGTTTTGGACGTGGTTGGGGACGGCGCCCCGGACCACGGGAGCTTCATAAGTGCTATTTAGTGGCGGCAGCTGGTCGAGCGGAGCCCTCACCCCGCAGACAGTAGCAGAAGCCCAAGGACAGGTGACAGGCCCCCAGCATGGGCAGCAGCCCTTGCTGAGTGCACGGAATGTTCTCCAGGCCATGGGCTACTTTTGCCGCCTCCTTCCTGGGCCCTCTTACGTGGGTCAGGTTTCCTAACAGCCCGTTGAATGAATGAGAGTAAGAAAGTATGTGTTGGCAAAATTTCAGCTGCAAATGCCAAAGCTTTCCAAGTAAGAGCATGAATTTAAGCAAAGTTTCAAGTGAATGGACCTCAGAGTAATGGCTGTTCTGGTAATAATGAAAAGTACAAATGTTTTTATGTTCAAAGGTTAACAAATGGGACGCTTTCACTGGCCTCCTGGCCTGCTCAGTTACAAAGTGGAAACTGTTCCTGATCTTTGCTTTATTGTACTTGTATTTTCTAGGCAATTAGAAGGATTTTCCACTCAGCATTTAAGAGGCTTGAACTGGCTGCAGACTCTTTTTTTAAACTAAAGTTTCTTTCTTTCTTTCTCTTTCTTTCTTTCTTTCTTTACTCCTTCCTTCTTTCCTTTCCTCCTTTCCTTTCTTTTTCTTTCTTTCTTTCTTTCTTTCTTTCTTTCTTTCTTTCTTTCTTTCTTTCTCTTTCTTTCTTTTTTATTCCTTCCTTCCTTCTTTCCTTTCCTTTTCTTTTCTCCTTTCCTTTCTTTTTCTCTTTCTTTCTTTCCTTCCTTTTTTTCTTTCTGTCCTTTCTTTTTCTTTCTTTTTTCTTTCTTTCTTTTCCTTTCTTTTTTCTCTTTCTTTCTTTTGTAAAACTAACATTTTTTTTCCCTTTTGTGCATGGGCTGAAGTTTTTTTTTTTTAATTTTTTTTTTCAACGTTTTTATTTTTATTTTTGGGACAGAGAGAGACAGAGCATGAACGGGGGAGGGGCAGAGAGAGAGGGAGACACAGAATCGGAAACGGGCTCCAGGCTCTGAGCCATCAGCCCAGAGCCTGACGCGGGGCTCGAACTCACGGGCCGCGAGATCGTGACCTGGCTGAAGTCGGACGCTTAACCGACTGCGCCACCCAGGCGCCCCCGGGCTGAAGTTTTAAAGTAACAGGCTTTCCAAATAGCATGCTTAGGCTTTGCCCACATAATTATTACATTTGTCGTGGAATTAGCACTCCTTGAAAGTATATTTCTACATAAGATTCTCATTTTGCCCACAAGTATGGTTCTTCCTAGCGTATCCTGTGGGTTTTGGTAAAACAGACCCAGCCCCATCCAGAGGACCATTGCAAATAAAATGGAAGCCATTTATCTTAATGGATGAGCAGGAGAATCAAGTCTGTTGAAATGGTTGCAATCCTCCAGAAAGGGACCACTCGCTAATCCATGGGGGCTGTATCCGTTTCTCTGAGCTTCTCTTGGTGCCGTTTGCTGACTGCTCCCCGAAACCACAAGTGTTTTAATTAACTCCTGACTTTGTTCGCGGGCTCACCTCTCCTGTAATGCCATCTCTGCCCCACCTGTCTATCAGCATCTGGGCCAGCAGTTGATGCTTCTGCTCTGGTCTTGGGCCGCAGACCGTGGTAATGGCTCAGGCTTTCCTCTCCAAATGGACAGGCAACACAGGCATAATCAAAACTCAACAGTGTCAGGGGGGTGATTTTATTCCATTATTTTTAATGAAAATGAGGAGGTGCCCCGGGGCTAAAAGGCTAGAAAATAGCCTCTGAGAGGCCCTGAGCCCCCACAGTGCCCCCTCCCCACCTGCCCTGGGGCCCGCTTGCCCCAGCAGAGAGGGATGCCGTCAGTGGTGCTGGGGAAGTGCAATGAGCCGCAGGTATTGAGCTCAGTGTCTGTTCTCCTTGTCAGATCTCCCAGCTGATGACGGAGACGGGCCGGGAGGGCCTCACCGAGGCAGCGCTGAATCGCTACAATGCAGACAAGCCTTCGGCCTGCGGCGTCCCGGCCTCACAGGGCTCCTGCGTGGCCAGCGAGACCTCCACAGGCACCTCGGTGGCCGCTTCCTTCTTCGCCAGGTAAGAGGGGCGTCCCAGAGCCTCGGTTCTTTCGGACGAGCCCGCCTGGTTAGCCTCTCGCGTGCGCCGCATTAGCTAAAGCACCAGGAAGAGTCTGGGGCCGCTCTTGGACTTGACTCCTTTTCGACAGGGCTTCTCAACCTCGGACTGCTGACAGGTTGGGCCAGACAGCTCTGTGGTGGGGCACCGTCCTCTGCGTCACAGGGTTCTTAGCAGCGTCCTTGGCCCCTGCTCACGAGATTCCTAAAGAATCTTCCCCAGTTGTGACAGCCAGAAAGGTCTCCAGACCTTACCATGTGTGCCCTGGGTCGAGAGCCACCGCTGTAAGAATACGTGGCTCTAAGGATGTCCTCCTGGGACGAGGACTTTTGTGGGCACAGCCCTGTGGTTGGTGTTTCCAGATTTACATCCTCGTCACAGAAAACGAACTGCTTCAAAATTAACTATTAAAGAGATAGTAGGTTTTTTGGGGTTTTTTTGTTTTTTTGGTTTTTTTTGTTTTGTATGTGGATATACTATCCGGCTAATCTTAGAGACTTTAGAGACACGAGAAACAAAAACCGAAAGGTATTTCAACAATGTTTTCTGCCTAATTTTAGCAGTGGAGCAGAGACAGGGCAGGAGACAAAAGACAGCTGAGCAGAAGGCACTTTTGGGATCGTCTAATTCAGTCCCCTTGTTTTATGAAGGAGGAAACTGAGGACCAAGAAAGTCAAAGTATGAGTTAATTTATAGCAAAGCCAGAAATGGAAACCAGATTCCTCTGCTTTATTTATTTATTTTTATTTTTATTTTTTTTTTGGTTTCCTCTGTGATTCATTATTCGATCCTGGGAACTTCACTTTAGAAAACTTCTTCTAAGATTCGCGAGCTCCTGGGCGAGCAGGAGGTAGGACATGTGACCGCGGATCGGAAATCAGAAGACGCCTGCGGTTCGAGTTACGGGTCTGCCTCAGTTTCCTCCTCTATGAAACGAGGATAGCACCTCAAGATTTCCCTGGAGGCTAAGATCAATCATTGTAGATTATGAAGTGCTGTATAAATGGTGATTCAATGTGGACTCAGCTAGTATGTTGGGAAGAAGGAGTACCGTGTGGTTCTTCTTGCCATCCTTGTGCATGGTAATGTCCAAAGCACCAACATGAGGAAGGGACTGTGATTAGGACAGGAGCAATCAGAGGAGGAACAGAGGCTGGTGTCCTGTGTTAAAAACAACTACAGGGGCTCCTGGGTGGCTCCGTCGGTTGAGCGTCCGACTTCGGCTCAGGTCACGATCTCGCGGTCCGTGAGTTCGAGCCCCGCGTCGGGCTCTGTGCTGACAGCTCGGAGCCTGCTTCAGGTTTTATGTCTGCCTCTCCCCTGCTCATGCTCTGTCTCTCCCTTTCTCAAAACGAAATAAACATGAACAAATTTTTTTAAAACTACAATAAAGGCAGCGCATAGGCTTGTCAGAACACCGGCCCGGAGATTCTCATTGTAGGTCGGTGCTGTGTTTATTGTCCTGTGCACAGTGGGGCCGACCTGAGTGTATGGGAGGTAACAGGAAATACAGTAGTCTCCTCTTAGCCACGGCGGGTACACTCCAAGGCCCCCAGTGCATGCCTGCAGCTGTGGATAGTACCGAACCCTACGTGTGCACTGTTTTCTCCCATACGGACCTGCCCGTGAGGAAGTTCAGTTAATAAATGAGGCACGGCAAGAGGTTAGCTGCGATAACTAGCAATAAAATAGAACAGTTATCACCACATACTGTAGAAAAGTTAGGTGAATGTGGTCTCTGTCTCAAAATATCTTCCTGTCCCGCACGCACCCTTCTTTCGTGACGTCACATGGTTAAAATGCCCTCCGTGGTGAGGCGACGTGAGGCGAGGACGCGGAGTTGCGACGTGGCGTTAGGCTGCTGTTGACCTCTGACGCTGTGTCTGAACGAGGATCGTCTGCTTCCTGCTTGAGGTCAACCGCGGATACCTGAAACCGTGGCGAGCAAAACCGCGGACAAGGTGGTCTACCGCGTGCACGTGCTGGCCGCCTGACCACGGGCGCTGTTGTGTTAGTTCCATCTGTACGTGCCTTTCTATGTTGTCTGGGATCATTGAGCCAACTAACCGGGAGGCCGTGTCTCTGCCATTCAGGAAGGGAAGAAAGGGGTGGAGCGGAATGCGCGGACATGCTCCAAGCGCGGAGGATCCCAGGACCTAGGTGGGTTAGGAGAGCATGTCCAGAGGCGGGTGACGAGAGTACTGAGGAACTAGGAAGCCATGTCACGCGGGGTAGTCTGGAGAAGACGGCCCTCGGCTGTCTCTTGGGCCGTCGTGTGAGAGAAGGATTTGGCGGGTTCTATAAAACACCCAAGCGTGTGGGCAAAGGCTGAATAAAACCTGACGCTGGAGCTCAGCTCCGACACCCTCCGGCTCGGCTCTCCCAGCTCAGAATGAAGGACAATTTGCACACCATTCGAACTGCCCTGGGACAGATTGAGATCCCCGTCACTGAGGGAAATCAAACTTACCTCGGGTGACTGGCTTTGATGCTGAGGAGAACATTCACGGCTCGGATGTGGGTTGACCTCCTGTGCACCTTCCTGACCTGAAATACTCTGAATGTGAGAAGCCTCAGCTCAGGCTCCACCCAGAGACTTTTACAGGTCACTCGCAGAAAACACCAGAAGCGGGATTTGAAGCAGGAAGAGATGGGAGGTTAGGACCCCTGATGGCCAGTGTTTAGGGCGAACGAGTGTTTCCCGCAGCAAGGAACCCAGCAGTGCTTTGGAGCAGGGAAAGCGTGTGGACACGAGACAGGCTGGGATGGCCCAGGGTCCGAATGGAAACACGGGGGTGAACCCAGAGTGGAGGGGCCTGTCGATGGTGGTGGCGGGAGCCCCGGTGATGTTAGCGATAAACAAACACTGGACTGAGTTCAGGTTGCAAGAGCTTGTGGTGGGAGCTTTCAAAGAGCTGGAAAGGATCCGTAGGGCTGCCTAAATCCTCATTATTACTTTCTTCGTGGTGAAGGCTGATAGCACTAGGAGCTTAATGGCTTAAGGCATTCAAAGTACGCGGTTTGCGTTTAAAGGGTTTACAATGTATGGTGGGAGGGGGGGATGTAACGTGAAAGAGACTAGTGTTTCACACACACACGTGCACATGTGCACACACACGCACATGCACGTGTTCCCCTCATGCCCTCTCCCTGTTTGCCCTGTCGGTCTCCTCCACGACAGCTGGGAGTTCACACGTCCCAAAGAGGGAGGCGGTTCATATGCTGCCTCCCTGTCACTGATGCGAACCTCAAAGCAGAAGATCGAGTGACTTTCTCAAGGCCCAGAATAGGAAGGGACGGAACCGGGCACGTACCTCGCCTCTGCGGATCCCCCGAGGGTCTGCATCGAACCACCCCCTGCTTATGTCGTCAGACAGCCGACCGAGTTCAGTGCTTTTCCGCCTCAGATACAGTAAAGCTGGGTAAGGCGACAGTACAGGTGGCCTCCGGTAGGGGTGAACTCTTTTGTTGAGGGTTGTAGACACCGACTTTTCTTTGTGATCTCAGCCTTTCTCTGTCAATATTTACTTTCTGGAACTCTGCGGAAAGGTCGGGTGGACTTTACTGCATTTCTGATACAACGTCTATAAGATAAGAGTTCCAGTTCTGAATAAGCAAGGATACCTTTGGCCGGAGCAACTCCAGGCGTGCGGTCTGCGGGGCCGTTCCCGGTCTGTGACGGGCGTAGAGGTTGAGAGGAAGCATTTAGAAACTTCGGTCAGCCAGTTCACAAGAGTAATTTTATGTCCATTAGGATCTGGGAATAACGAAGTGGAGCTTGTATTTTGAATGTAATGAAAATTAAAGAGGGGCGCCTGGGGGGGCTCCGTCGGTTCAGCGTCTGACTTCAGCTCAGGTCATGATCTCATCGTGGTTTGTGAGTTCGAGCCCCGCGCCGGGCTCTGTGCTGACAGCTCGGAGCCTGGAGCCTGCTTCGGATTCTGTGTCTCCCTCTCTCTCTGCCCCTCCCTGCTCATGTTTTCTCTCTCTCTCTCTCTCAAAAATAAGTAAACATTAAAAAAAATTTTTAAAAATCAAAGAAAAAGTGATTCCTCACCACAGATAGTTTGAGAGGCGCCTGCTTTAGAAAATGATGATGCCCGGAGCGTTTTGTCCTTTGATCCTTATCTTCCCAGAATTTCTTTATTTCTTGAAATAGCAGCACCATGGTAGACTGTCTGTGCTTTAGAATTTCCGTGCCCTGGTTTTTGAAAAACATTTTTTGGGGGGGGAAAAATAGTAACCTCATACTAAAAAGATAAATAGTTGTAGTAACCAAAGAAAGACGGGCACAATTCTCATCAAGTTGGGTGGCTGTTGTGTGTTGACTTTGAACTTCACAAAGGAGGGAATGAATCTTCCTGCTCCCACAGTGCTGGGAAATGGCAGAGTAGGGTGTGATTAGGTTTTTTGCATTTGTTGGCTGTTCACTTTGGGTGAAGATTTACTTAATTATGTACGGAACGTGAAACGTAGGAAGATCTCCTGGGTGGATCCCCAGCATTGCAGGCTGAGCCCAAGGAATCTGTTTTTATTTGAATGAAGAGCAGCGACCAAATTCTGGATTATGCGTCCGATTGCCTTGGATCCTGGTAAATCAGACGAATCTTTCGGCTGACCTCCGGTCTTCACGTTGATGTTCTTTCCCAAATAACCTTGAATGGCCATTTAAAATCGTGTTGTTGTTGATTTTAATCCGTGAAGGAAATGAGCATCTGGAGGAGTCTCCTCTCCGTTCAGAGCAAGTGTTTGAAAACGGTGAAAACTAGCAGCTGTCACGTGAGCTTTGCAAAGGCAGGTTCCAGTCCCGTAGAGCTGGTGCCGCCATATCTGGGCGCTTGGTGGGCATGTGTCTTGAGTGTCATGTCTTACTACTGCCTCTTTTGTTTACAGCTCTCGTATTGAGTTCACAACCTTTGGAAGACCATGACTTCTTATTACAGTCAAATCAGACTTCTTAG